TCGCTCGTGACAGTTTACAGGTAGCGCCTCCTTCTCACAATTTGACATTCTCTCATCATTTACAGCATGCAATGCTCGATGAGGATACTAAGACTCGCGCTTTGAATGCGTGGGATGCGAGTTGGAATCAATTTGTACAGGAGTTGGTAACTAGTCAAGGTTCTTGCCTATAATCAAGACAATAGGCTGTGTACAATAACGAACAACCGCGAGATGGTGAATATATAGCTGTTGGGTATATGAAGCATAGGTGTTACAAATTGCTGAATGTTGAATCAATAGCCGCGCCTAAGTCGGTCGTTCTCTGCACGCAAGATTTCATTTTCAAGACGAAGGGCTTTGAAATCCCCGACATATTCGGCCATCAATGATCGGAGGTCATTCTAAAGAGAATTAGCGATTCAATATGTCGGCCTTCTGGTAATTGAGCCCGGGCTCACCTTCCAAGTGCGGCCCATCTTAACCAAGTCAAGGTGCATACCTCGCAGCTCTTCTTTTACTTCTTCTTGTTGCTCAAACATAACCTCTCGGATCATGTTTCGTAAGAGTTCTTGGGCATTGGCTTGCGACACTGGTGGCATAGCAGGAGATCGCCTCGGTGACAATTGCATTGCACCAGCTTTGAGCCTGTCATGAGGACCTTTTGATTTTGATGGAGTTGTTGGTGAGAGGTGGGTTGATCGATTGGTTTTATTAACGGCATTCATGATACTACCAGTCTTCCGGTGTCCTTTGATGTTTGTCATATTCGTAGTATTGGCAGTATTCGCAACCGAAATATCAGGGGTGTTGTCTAGCTTGGTAGCTGGAGTTGAAAAAGGCTCCATGGTTGTACTGTTATCGTCTTCCTGATCGTTGGATAGGATTGGTGGAATATCAATAGGTTGCTGAAAGACTGCAGAGATATCTTCGGCAGTAGGAAGGTCTGGGCTAGGCGACCTCTCAGTAGTAGCCTTTGAGTCTGTCGGAGACTTTGAGGGCGTATAGGGCAGTTTATCAAAAGATACTCGCACTTTCCTTAAAGGAACCGTGCGTATAGCGGAGTGGGACGATAAGGCAGGACTGCCAGCAGATGTGCCCGTTGAAGTTCGACGTGATATTGGGCGAGGGGAACCGGGCTTTGCAATACGCGGAGTTGGAGATCCACTCTTACGTGCTTGAGAATTCTTGTCACTGGAAGTGTTATCGAGTGGTTTACTAGTCGGCTTGGGCGAGACTACTCAGAATGTGTCAGTAACAGGTATTCGCGAGTTCATTCCATTTGTTTACCTAAGGCTTCTCCTGTTCTTTTGCCTCGTAAGCCGGCTCCGGGTGTAGGTACAGTCGCATTACTACTGGTTGTGGGCTCTTTCTTCAAATTTGCACCAGATCCAGAGAGTGTTCGCGTGTTTCTTGTCGTGACATTATTTGTGATGGCTTTTGATGCTGTGATGGGCTCTTTACCAGCTCTACTGATCGTCGTGCCCGCTTTGTCTGCTGTCGTACCCGTGGATGGGCCAGGGTTCCTCTAAAGCAAGCATAAGCTAGGTTTGGTGTAGGAATTGATGAGGATAATTTACCTGAGAGGCCATCATTCTCACGGCCTTTCCGGGCTGTACAGGGAGAGATCTAATAGACCTGCCTGGTAGCCGAATATCTTGCATCAGGATGCTACCGTCCTCTGTACCGACTAAAACCCAATTTCCATCACTACTGACGTCGAGATTGCACAAACGCCTTTTGAATTCAATTTTGCGAATCAGGCTAGGTGGATTATCAGATGGTCGAGTGGAAAGGGAGCTGCTGGTAGAGCATACTGACGGTTTGTCTTTTTCTAGGTCCAATAAATGGACATCCCCTTCCTGTAAGGCGACGGCCATGGGACATTTTGAGTTGGGAATGAATGCCAGTCCAACCACTTTTTGTTTTGTTCCAAGGGGAATAATCTTTATTGGACTATCTGGTTTTTGGATATCGAAGACAAATATTTGGACATCACTCGCTACAACAAGCGTTGATGGCTTCCTGGGGTGGAATTGCGAGAGTCCGAAATTGGTGGGTGACAGACCTACTCCCAAGGCAAAAATGTTATCAGTAGTGAGATTTTTGATCTGGATGCTATCCTGTGTCACAATCGAAAGCAAGTCTCTATCATTTGAGACACATAACGACTGCATTCCTCCCTCGACCTGCGCTCGATTAACAAAACACATCTACACGGGTTATAGAACATGCAATAAAACTGACCAGAGTCGGTTCACCAATATTTTCACCGTTTGGCATGCTAACGCGAGTAACATTTCCTTTGGTGCCCACAATCAACGTGGTCGCGTCCTTCACTAGCAACGAAACGACTGGATCATTGGATGTGAACATTGAGGCCATATGTTGTCCTATATTGTTGTATTTTTCCACAGAGCCTGATTGGGTGCCAATAAACACGTCCCCATCGCCATTATAGGTGGCGCATGTTACACCCGTCGTGTTCAAGTTGACAGGTTTGCGAGACGTATCGGATTTGACAATTATGGAATCGAAGGCCACAGTAAGGCCATCAGTGGCCGCAATCAGAGGTCCACTCATATGGAGCAAGCGTAAGAGGAGGACAAAGAGATAACAGCACGTGACGAGCGGAGTTACAAGCGAGTACTGCGCGACAGTATATAGACCCG